AGAGAGAGAGAGAGAGAGAGAGAGAGAGAGAGAGAGAGAGAGAGAGAGAGACTAGAAGACACCTGAAAAAGAAAAGAAATCTCTAGGGCCAAGGAGATGGCTCAGTAGGATAAGCACTTGTCTGGCAAGTGCAAGGGTCTGAGTTCAATCCTCAGTTCCACCAAAAAAAAAAAAGAAAGAAAGAAAGAAAGAAAGAAAGGGCCTGAATTTAATCCCCAGTTCCAGAAAAAAAAAGAGAAAAAGAAATCTCCAGAAAAACAAATCTAGTAACATCTGTATGCAGTATAACTGAATTCCTTACAAAGCAAAAGATTGCATGACCTCTCTTGATACTGGTGTCTAGGTCCCTTGGAGTCCTGAAATCTCTCCTCATTGGTTTTTTGTTTTTTGTTTTTTTTTAATGAACTGAAAGTTAGGCCTAGCTTTTGGTTCTAGTAAGCACCTATTGCAATAGCAAATTGTTGACATGAAGGTGTTAAATCAGAGCATTTCTCCCAGAGGTAGGTGTTACAGGTGATAGGAGAGACCTCATAAAAGGAAGAGAAAGGAGTGGAGAGGCACAGCTGGTCAACTCCAGCTACATTCCAACCCTCAGAGGAACACTTCATTACCACAGATTTTTGAAGATACAGTCTGCTTTAGAATGACCTCAAATTCTCAACTCTTGGTCAAGATTGCTAAACCAAACTTTTTGTGTGTAGGGATCTGCATTTTAAAAAGCTTGCCCACAGCTCTTATTCCCAGTAAAAGTGGAGAATTCTGTGAAAGGTCCATGTTAGCTCGTCTGTTTAGCTAATGTTCACCACTCTTCCCCAAAGGAAGTCCTTACAATGTGAAAAGAGTAAAAGTTCCACTCAACTCAATATTTACTAAACTCCAAGTTTTGTGCTAAGCAATAACTCAGGAGGTAGCAATTACACAAATTTTTCAGATGAAGAGACAGAGACTGAGAGATCAAATAATGACTAAGGTTGATCAAGGAGAAAACCTTTGAATTCAAAATCAGAGCCTTCCCTTCTAAGTTAGTGGTTTTCAGCCTTGAATGGAAAGAGCCTCTGAAGGCCTGGAAGGTTGGTTCAGACAATGCCAGGCCTAATTCAGTGGGTCTCAGGCGGGGCCTGAGGATTCACACACATAAAAGTTCCAAATGATGTTGCTGCTTTGAACCCAAGGACCACCACTTTTTTTAAAAAAAAAAAATATTTATTTATTTACTTATTTATTTAGTGTGTGGCCAGCTCAGCCCACCAGGGGGCGGGCGGGCCAGCATGTGGTGCTGGGGGATTGAACCGAGGTCTCTGTGCTTTGCTTGAGCTTAGCTTGTTCTAAGTAGGTGCTTTAGACCACTGAGCCATCTCACCAGCCCAAGGACCACCACTTTGAGAACCACTGTTGTAAACTACTGAATCTCTCACTGTTCTTTTGTGTAAACCTAGAGAACATGAGACCAGTTTTGTTCCAACAGCCATATCTATGTTCAGCCATGCTGAGCGTGAGGGCAGACACCAAATGAATTAAGTGACTGCCTACAATGACTCTTAAGTTGACCCAATTGTTAGCTTGAAGGTGCACACACAACTCCACAGAATGGAAGATCCTTGAACTCACCTATTAGAGGGACATTTTCAGAGGCTGGCATAATCTCTGCTACCATTAGCTGAAAAACGGTCATGGCCAACAGGATGGTCACTCCCAGGGAGACCTTCTCCCCAGAGGCTGCTGGGAGATAAAAACTTAAGGGAGCTAGGAAAGATATGAGGACACAAGGGATGAGGAGGTTGACGATGTAGAATGAAGACCTCCGCTTTAGAAGGAGAGTAAAGGTGACATCCGGGTAAGGCTCGGAGCAACAGCCATAGGAGATCACGTTCTTCACTGCAGGCATGCCATGGACCTCCCATTCCACATCCTCAATGAAGTCGGAGAGATCGCCACTGTCCAGGGCATTGAATATGTCCACCTGATTGCCATTGTAGGTCCAGGAACCAAAGGTCAGGTTGCACTGCTGGTTATCAAAGGGAAAGTACGTGACATCCACCACACAGGAACTTTTAGTGATGGCTGGTGCATCCCACGTGATGAGCCCATCATAGCGCAAGACCACGTTGGTGTTCACAGGCTCTGAAGACTCATCATCAGCCCTGGAGGTCAGAGTCAGACAGTGATGGCTGCTGGTTAGAAAAACTCACCAAATTCCTCATTCCACAGAGCTCACTGCCCTGAGCCCATCGTGTCAGTGTCTTGAGCAATGTGCCACAGTTCTCCCTGTCACTCTAGCATGAGTGCTTGGAAGCACCTCTCCCTCACCCCAGCTTCTATAGGGACTCAGGGCCAGGTCCTCCCTCCTTATTCCTCTAAAGTGACTGCTCAGGTTCCTCCAGTCGAATGCCACTCCCTTGGTCAGCTCTAATGACTGGAACATCTAGACACAAGGTAAACTTGCTGACACAAAAACCTGCTCACCTGATTTTGTCCACTTACATAATCAGATTGTTAAACATAACCGTTTATTGCTGTTGTAAGAGTTGGACAGGTGTATTTGGAACACTGGGAAAGCACAGAGGAAAAATAGCCATTCATATGTAAGCCATTTTTGCAAAAAAAAAAAAAAAAGTCATTCTCTAAGCATTTGGTAGGGATAATCACTGTTTCTTGCTTGGGGGAAATATGGAAGAACCCCCTAGTCACTCAGAGTGGAGGACCGTGGGCTCGGGCTGTGAGTCAAGAGCTCCTGAGCTGAGTACAGAGGGAGGCAAAGTCCAGGCTTCCAGCCCCAGTGCTGCTTCCTTTAGGGAAATCCATGGCTTCTAGCAGACTTCACCTGGGGGAGCCCCTGAAGGTCACCATTTATGTCATTCTGAGTCTCAGAGGAATCTGTCCCAACTCACAGAAACTTCAGTTCCAGAATAAAAACTGAGAGGATCTCCCTGAACTACAAGTAGAGAAACAGAGCTCAAATTGTGACAGAGAGCTCCTCAAAGTGCAGCCTAGAACCAGCAGGACCTCTCCCACTTGGAGCCTGTAGAGATGACCTGTTGGATCTGAATCTGTGTGGGGTTTTTGTTGCTGTTGTTTGTTTTTTGCGGAACTGGGGATTGAACTCAGGCCCTTGTGCTTGCCAGGGAAGTGCTTATTCTACTGAGCCATCTCCCTGGCCCCTGAATCTGTGTTATTATTATTATTATTGTTGTTGTTGTTGTTGTTGTTGTTGTTGTTTTATTTAATTACATTATTATCTTTTTCTCAGTCCTGCACTACAACAAATTATACAGCTTGGAGAAATTGCAGAGGTCAGCGCATCCAGAATGCAATCAATGAGCCCTGCCCTGAGAAAACCACCTTTATGATCATGGTATCTCCCCTGCCAGGTACGTATGTATGTATCTGTGCTTTAACAAGAACCCTAGGTGATCAGCGTGTACTTCGCAGCTCAGGAAGCATGAGCCTTACCCATCCACCTACACAAGGCCTCTTGCTCCATGAGAGGCAAAGGGCCAGCCAGCGTCCTGGTGGTCCCATTCAGCCTCCAGCACCCCCAGAGACCAAACTCCAGGGGCCAGCCCTGGACAGCCCATTCCCATTTAATTTTAGTAGGATAATCATTACTGCTGCATGACCTTGGACTGTGAGCACCATGCTTGTGGACAGAATGGTAGCCCCAGGAAAGCTGTATTTTAAAGTGCTTATCTGCCAGCATCACAGAACGTGACTCTATTCTAGAAGAGGGTCACTGTAGGTGTGATTAGTCGAGGCGGAGTCATGCTGGAGTCAGGAGCACCTAAGCTGGTACTGATGTTCTCCTCGAACAACAGGGGACTGCACACAGGACTGACTCCCTGACAGAGGACAGTAGGTGAAGATATGGGGTGATGCTTCGAACAATTACAGGAACACTAGAAACTAGAAGAGAGACAGAGCACAGGTTCTACCTCCTCATAACCGTCAGAAGAGATGGTCTCCTTTGAGCTTTAAGCTTTTGTGACCTATTATTTTATCATCTGAGTTTTCATGAGCATTATTTCAGGGCCTGGAAACATGGATTAATACCTATCTTCATGCAGTTTTACACATTTTTTTCCTTAGGTTTAAATTTTATTAAATCAGCAGCTTCTTCCCAGGAAGTCTTGGGCTGGGGAGATAGCTTAGTGGTCCAAGCACCAGCTTGAGCACCCTCGTTCAAACCACAGTCCTGCATGCCGTGCTGGCCTGGAACCCCAGGTGTGGGAGGCTGAAGCAGGAGGATCACTATAAGTCTGAGCTGCTTAGTGAGACCCTATACCAAATAAATTTTTAAAATTAAAAAAAAAAGAAAAAACAAGGGAAGTCTTGGCGATGGGGTGTACTCACTTGTTGTACAGGACAATGTCCGGCCTCCACACCAGGTCGCTGGGAATCCTGATGGAGTCCAGCCCGTCATACTGTTCTCGATCCCAAGTGAGGTAGGCATCATGCCAGATCTGGCGGATCCACAGGTAGGCGGTCAGAATCTGGTTCCTTTCATCCTGCACAGTGAACCAGACCCTTGAATGAGGAAGTTAGGAAACCTTCCACTTACAGGCGAGAAGCCCCTCGAATCTCATAACTTTGTATAATTAAACATGTACACCCATCAAATAAGACATACCAACTTAAAATACCTTAAATTGGGATTAAACTCATACAACATAAATACTACCATTTTAACATTTTGGAAGCGGACAGTGTCAGTGGTTTCTTTTTTTTTTTTTTTTATTTATTTTTTTATGTGTGTGTGTGTGTGTGTGTGTGTGTGTGTGTGTGTGGCCAGCTCAGCCCACCAGGGGGCGGGACTGACTGGCATGTGGTGCTGGGGGATTGAACCGTGGTCCCTGTGCTTTGCTAAGCTTGTTCCAAGTAGGTGCTTTAGACCACTGAGCCATCTCACCAGCCCCAGTGGTTTCTAATGTATTCACAACATTAAGCAACCATCATCACCACTATGTAATTCAAGAACATCTTCATTGCCAGGCTATGTTTTCTATCTCGGTGTTCCCTTTATAAGTCTCATGAGATTCTAGGTGGGCCCCTCGGAAGAAGATTGGGTTATAGGGGCTCACAGCTGACTCGCTATTAGGAGACGGGGCCTGGTCCAAAGAACGGATCCCCTGCAGGGGGCCCAAGGGTCACATCTCCCTTCCTAGCTGCTCCCCGGATTCTGCTTCCTGGCTGCCAGAGCATGGCAGCTCCTCTTTCACCTTGCCCTCTGCGGCGCAGCTCTGCCCTGGAGCTGGCTGACCACAGAGGGTAACCGTGAGCCAATACAAACCTCTCCTCCCTTCAGTCTTCGGAGTTGAGTATTGCATCTCAGTGACAAAGAAAGTGACCACAACAGCCCCCAAAAGAAATTCCTCACCATTAATGAGTCACTGACTCTCGTTCTTCTTCCTCCTCTGGCAACCACTACCCTGCTTTCTGTCTCAATGCATTTACCTTTTTGGGACGTTTCATAAAAATGGAACCATACAATATGTAACACCACCTTGCCTTAGAGTACTTAAGACTGTTTCAGTGTACCATCAGAACTGCAGGTCACAGTAACATTAGTGAACATTCTGTAACACATAGTGTGATTAGTTCTGTAGAAAGCATCCTTCCCTGGAGTCCTTTTGCCCACCAGCTCGTACACAGAGCTGTACAAGCTGGTTCAAGGTGTTCCCACTCTGTGACTCACCATATCCTTAATCTGAGACAGTGTGATCTGCAGTGTGACATTTAGGACTTTATCCGTGTCTTCCACTGGACGAAGAGCATTGGAATAATCCTCAAAGAGGTCGTTAAACAAGTTCTGGGCGTATTTTCCATTTGCCGTTTCTACAGCTACTCAAAAAGAGAGACCCAGATCAACTTTCGGAGGGCTATGTGCATTTCAAGCAAAGAACACCAGGCTGAGGTCAAGAATAGGGGACAGCCCTGCTGGACCAGGTCAGCAAGAGTCTGGCAGATGCACAAACTCTTCCATGCACTTAGATCAGCTCTCTTATTTTTTCTGGTCCACCCCACTTCCCACCAAAAA